CTAATAGCAGAGATCTAACTGATTCTAAAACTGCAAGTTTTGTCCTGCTCTGACCAAAATGCACTGAACCAGCTGCAAAAGAAGGCTAAACATAATCTTCATGCTTAATAAACTTCATGTTTTGATAAACAATACTTCAGAGCCAACAATTGCCATTTTCTACCCAGTTACAGACACGTGACTGGACGACGGCATGTGCCTTAAATTTAGGGTCATTTGTATTTCCAGCATGGTGGCAGGGTGGTTAGCACTGTTGCTAAAGGTCCTGAGTTCAATTCCACCATCAGGCCGGGGTCTTTCTGTGTGGAGTTTGCATGTTCATGTACTCCAACTTCCTACCACAGTACAAACACATGCAGTTAGTGGGGATAGCTTAATTGATCATCATCTAAATTGCCCATAGGTGCGAATGGTTGTCTCTGTGTGTTAGCCCTGCGACAGACTGGCGACTGGTCCAGGGAGTACCATGCCTCTCGCCCTATGACAGCTGGGGTACGCTCCAGCGCCCCCCATGACCCTGATAAGGATAAGTGGATTTGCAGCATGCAACTTCTGATTTGGTGGAACTGGTGTAAATGTGGTGATGTTACCGTGATTCTATTGGCTTAAGTGACCTCTAATTGTCGTGCATGAAAAAATAATAATAATAATAATAATAATAATCTGCACTTTTTTGAAAACACAACTAATATTAACAAGTTAACAAGCTTAAGTGATACAGCATTGTCATGTATTGATATATGGCTATGTCTTAATGTGATGACTTTTGAACCGGATGTTGTTGTCCGAGGGAGGCCCCGTTAAGTGGCTAGTTGTCAGATGGACAGTATTCAATAAAGCAAGACCGTGCTTTATGTCCTGATTCAATTCAGAGTGCTCAGCCTAATTCAGTAATAAGGTGGGCACACAACAAGCATCATAATAACTCCTTTAGTACATAAGCAAAGGAAAAATCTGATGATAATGGAGAAGGGACAACAGCTCTGAACATGTCCGGTCTAATAAAACAGTTGTCACAGTCTGGCTGAGGCAGACTGTATGAATGTGAGGAGAGGATCTGAAATGCAGACACAAAAGGAACGTGGAACCAAAACTTCGTATTAACAAAAAGCGAGCTGTTTAATGAGGCTGGTTAAAAAAAAGGTACAAACAAAGGGCAAGGCAAACTGAAGCAAAACTAACATTAACCTAAACTGGGTGAACTAAACAAACAACATGAAAAACCCTGACATGAAACTTAGAAACATGACGTGGAGAACATGCCGAGAACAACAGATGACCTGACAAGGACCGAACAGGAACACACAGGGGTGATTAGGGGAAATGGAAACACATGGGGAAACAGCTGACACTAATCTGAAATAACAAGCAAAGCCGACTACACTGACATAGGACACAGATCTTCAAAATAAAACAGGAAACATGACAATACAACTTCACAACAAGAACAAGAAACATGATCTTCACCAACCTCACAAGGCCTGGTTGAACAGTTGCTGTCTTATCATACATGGAGTGAGCAGTGTTCATACAACCCGTAATGTTACTTTGAGTTAAGGAGGTAAAAATATAAAGTCCATCTCAGTCCATGCGTCCAAGTGCAAGCACAATTCTCCCGCACTCTACAGAGGGCAGTGGCACATACTTGTGACATCACAAACATTAACTTAGGCTGTCTTAACCAGTTAAAGGTCAAGAGTCATGCAACCCTCCATGGCATCAAGCCTTTCTTGCAAATGTCAGCATATGTAGTATCCACAAAACCTTAGAATCTCAGCTAAATGCTCATTTAAACCATTTCTACAGCCACCAAACACAGCAAAAACAAGCAATGATTAAAAGAGCAGTTGCGTAAATGCACATAAGTCCGCTAAACACAGACAACCAAGCCCAGAATTTGCCAGACTTCATGTAACCAGGTAAACAATGGCTCGTTAGCTCACAGAGACCTCACAGATTCCAAAACACCAAGTTCCATCATGCTTCAACCAAAAGTCAGTGAACCAGCCACAAAGGAAGACCACAAAAAACGCACAGCAGGTCAAATGCACTAAAACAGAAACTGGCTTACCGTCCCTTCCGCAGTTTTCACTGTTAGCTGATAGCCAGCATGGCTACTGATAATGGAGCGCTAACTAGAAGCATCAGAGCCACTTTTGTCAACAACCACCATTTTGGACCCAGCTAAAGACACGTAGACAGACACCACAGCTGTGTCCCAATTCCTAGGCCGCATCCTCCAAAGGCCGCATTTGAAGGCCGATTCCGTCACAGCCAGGCGACGAAGGCTTTCCCAATTCGAAGGCTGCTCCAAATGCGGCTGATAAAAATGCTTTTTGAGCAGGAAGCTCAAAGAGACCTTTGGTGCTATATTAACGAAACACCACACAACTGCAACTGTTACAATGTCTGATTGCAACAACTTTAACTTGCTGCTTTGTCAAGACTGAACTTCATTGATCATTCATATTTGAATCCTCCCTGTAGACACTGACAGTTAACCAGGTCACATACTGCTGCAGACTTTTAATTCAGATGATTTTTCTGTTATTCAAATATTTTAAATGTTTTTTTTAAATCCAGATGTAGGCCTGTGTTTCTGAGCTCAGGTCATACATGTGGACAGGCTGGTGCCTACATGACTGTAGAAACTGAGCTCCCCACTGCTGAATATAAAAAGACTGTATCCACACGATGAGCGCCTGCAACAGACTCAGTCAGTTTGAGAGCGCTTACCTCCAAGCAAATTATTGAGGAGATGAGTGTTTGAAAACTGAGAGCAGACAGAATAACTGCTGCAATCTCAACTGATAAAGAACCCAGCTGAAGCCAATTTAGTTTAATAAAGACTTGAAAACAGAGTTCATGTTTTTGTTTTCATTTTTCCACATGAATGTTAAAGTCAGGTACTAATTATTTTATCTGAACTGATCACTAAATCGGACAAATCAAACTCAGAGTAAGAGCCAGACTGACAATAAACAACAAATAAAACAGTTTTGTTTTTTTCAGTTAGGGTGTGCAGGGCTAAGAATAAGACTTTCAAATAAATGATAACTTTGTCTGTGTCTGTGGGTTATTAATAAATCAGAAGTAAAGATTCCTGCCACTGCTGCTCCTCAGTGCAGCTCGCTCTGTTCCCTGGAATGACTTTGACTCTGTTCCCCAGATGCTGCAGCTTCATGTTTCTAAGAATAGAGCCAACAACAGCTGTGTTGCAGCTGTGTGAAAAATAGACTTAAAACATGAATGGTTTAGTGGTAAACCTGGGGCTTCTGTTTCACACAACACCTCGTCCTCACAGTGGTACAGTCACCCCTGCTGCTCCAGCTCAGCTGACAGGAGCTGTGTTACTTTGGGCTGCAGTGGTTAAAGGAGCCTGGCTAGCTATAGGATTATTTTCAGAGGTTACATTTATTACAAGTACCATTAACACTAAATGATGCCCAGGAGTAAGTGAACGTTTGACACTGAGCAGGAAGAACTGCTGGAGAACCACAAACCATGCTGAGCTAGGGAAGTTGGACCAGGAAACCCAGGGAACCATGAAAATCCAAACTGTCTGATTAAAAAGTCAGAATCGACAAAGTCATTTAATGAAGTCGATCCTCTAGAGACTAAGAATATCTGTACAAAGTTTAATGTCTTTAGTCCAGATCCAGTCCATGTGGACTAAAGTAGTGGACTGACCAACAGACTGACATTAACATCAGAGCCGTGCTGCTAGTGTGGCTAAAAGAAAAGAGAAGAAGAGACAGTCATGTTGATATGAACATTAGAGAAACACATCATGGAGCTGAAATATGATCCTGCTTCCTCATTTGGACTCATTCACCTCAGCTGACACGTTCAACAGCAGGTTTTTGTAGCAGTCTGTCTCACTGTGGGAGGAGGATTACTTCCATCTTTGGCTCTGGAACTAAACTGTCTGTAACAGGTAAGAACAAACATTTATTTTCCTTCAGTTGTTTTATTGTAGAAGCTGAAAATGTGTTTAAAGTCAGTTTCTGCTGCTTCAGGCTTTACATGTTAGTTTTTCATCATTAGTAGAGAATTCATCTGCAGCCATTGTTACATAAGAAAAGCTCAATAATCTCTGAAAACATGTTGAAATCTCACTGAACAACTAAAGTTATTCTTTATTTCTGCAAATATTAGTGATGTTACAAATATTTAGGATTTGATCCTCTCAGTGATTCTGCTGGTTTTTGAACAAAACATCCTATTTGACATTAAAAATAATCATTTTGTATTAAAATGTACAAGGAAATCAGAGCGATTGTGTATGTTTAAATAATGACATTGAGAAATAAGTTAATTCAGAAAGTATTAAGAATACATGAATATGTCAGTTAAAACTGATACTTTTAAATAATTATAGTAAAAATAATTCATGTACATAATGTTGAGTTTGCAAGTAATGAATTAATACCAATATATATGTGGTTTATGAAAATAATAAATTTTTAATGGTTAAGTTAATATATTATTTAAGAATATTTTTAATAAAATAAAAATAAATAAAACGTCAATTGAAGAAATAATGAAAAATATTTTAACTTTACATATAGAATAGAAAAGAATAGAACAGAATCTTTATTGTCACTGTTACAAGATTAACAAAACACACTTTGGCATCTCTCCATTGGCAGCATGTAGACTTACATTTAGATTCTTTACAATAACGTAAATATCTACAAAGTAACACAGGCATCTGCACACCAAACAGATATGCACAAGTTATATACATACACACACATATATGCATATGGAGAGCACCGGGCCGCTGCGACTGCTCGCATCACCATCTTGTGAACATGAATTAATTAATATATTGGTGCCAACTAAAGTGTTTCTATTCTGATGGACAGTTTACATTTACTTTAATCATATTTGACCAAATTAAATATATTTGGAAAAATATTATTTGGTAAATGTTGGATCTCAATAATAGTGTCAGACACTGCAAGCATTTCAATATAATTAAAAGAATGTTATCAAGTCTGTTACATCAAGTTATATTTGCTTTAAACTTTACATATTTGAAAAAATATCATTAACATGTTTCAGTACATACAAAAAAAAGTAAGAAACTAATAAGACTGTATTTCTGTGTTAATCTTATGTATGTAATATTTAATGTTTAAGATGTCATTTCCACGCTCTCAGTATTTAAACTGAATTTTAAAATATTTTATAAAGTTATATGATATAAAATGTTGTTGTTATTATTATTACATTAACTATAAGAGTTTTTTCAAGCTGGCAGTGCACAAAAGAGGGAACATCACTAAAACACTATGAGTCCATCACAGGACAGAACAGAGAACCAGTGATACTCACAGTCAAACCTACAGATAATTCATAATCACCAGTTAACTGAAAAAACTTGTCTTTGGATTGTAGATGGAAACCAGAGAAGAACGACACAGGCACCGAGAGTTCCTGCAAACACACAGCAGAGCCCCACCCGACCAGCAGGTCTGAACACACAACCGTCTTGCGTTGAGGCTACAGCGCTAAACACAACACCACCATTTATGTTTTCAGTTATTTCTTTTAAAACTAATAAAAGGAAACAACAGAACATAATCTCTGTGTTGTTCAACCAGCAGGACCCAGAGTCCACGTGGAGGGGAACAGCTCCCTGCTGTGTGTGCCCCCAGCCATGTTTCCTCACCTGGTCCAGCTGTCGTGTAAAAGACAGAAGAAGAACGGCCGGCTGGAGGAGCTGCCCCCTGCTGATGGAGAGCAGCTGGAGCTCAGAGAGGCGGGACGCAACACCTCCATCTTACTGATCCATCAGCAGGAGAAAAGCACATATGAATGTACCTGCTGGGTGAAGCACGAGGGGGGCACAGTGGAGGCCCAAACACAACAAGGTAATGAAGGCTTGCTGACTGTGTTCAGCAGTGATTCAGCTTCATGTGGAGATGCTGTCAAAGAGAGCAGAGCAGCAGAGGACTGACATTTCTCACTGCAGCTCCAAACATTT